CTCCCATTCTCTCTCTTCTAAGGCTTAAAAAAAGTTTACCATTCACCAAACTGTAGCTTTAATTCTTTGCAACACACTCCAATTGACTGTAAAATCTGAACAGCATTTAACATTTTTACTGAGCATCGTATTTCCATGCTTCAGTATTCATAACGCATCTACTTTTCTGTGTGCGTGAAAACCATAAATCTAGACATTAGCTTCATATCTTCTGCCAAGATTTAAATCTTAATTCCAACGTGGCTGTGCACTTTATGATATGAAGGCATTGTTTTCCTAGACACATTCAGTCCTGAAAGCAAAATCAAGTCCTACAGAGCAGCCAAAATTTCTGCTGGTTACAGCAGAAGACATTTACTCGCTGCTTTTTAAATTTGACTTAGTTCTTCAAGCCTGTCAAAGCTTTGCTGACCCTTCCTCAGAAAAAAAAGTTGACTGGTGACACCTGATGTGAAGAAAGAAGTTTGCCAAGAATCCCTCCCAAGAAAAACCTGCTAAAGGGCACTATTGGGATACAAAAGGTTACAATAATGTATTATTTAGCCCCTACTGATCATCCTACACAACAAATACTACAGTCAGACTTCATGGGATTATCAACATCTGAAAACTGCAGACTTCAAACGAGTTTCTAGGGGATTTTATCCTGTTGAAACAAGAAATCATTAGATAGCCTACTCCCACCCAAGCATAATTTAAATTGAGAAGTATTTTATATTCAGCGCTTCCTCCTATTCTAAAATAAAGCATAAATATTAAAATACCAAATTCCTCATGTGGTTTTATCACTGGGAAACAACAACTAGGACATGAAGAGGGAGATTTACAGCACTTCACTTGAAAGGTATTAGCTCAATTTCAAAAGCAGAAGGCAGCAGCATCCAGATGTTTATTAGCCCTTACCTCTTCAGGTTACCTTAGTTTCTACATCCAGTTAAGAGAAAACCAACAAGACCAGGCTCCATACCACCCCACAGAATTTTGGAATACCCACATCACCCCTCTCCTTCCCAGCCACAGCAGTCCACATGCTGACTGCCTTTTGCCACACAGCGCCAGCCACTTGCCCTAAACAGTGGTTGTGCTTTCTTTCTTTCTTATCCACTACCAGCCTAGATAAGCTGTAGGCAGTGGAAAACCTGCCAGGGACGAAGTAAAACACCCAACTGAAGACGCCTGAACTGCAAATAGAAACCAAGAAGCTGTACCTGCTACCATTCCCCTCTCAGGTACAAAAGAAACTTACACAGACCATGCCTTGCACCAGATTAGTCAAGCAAACTACAGCAGACTCGGGCAACTCCTCTTTGCTGACACCGTACTTGCTCAAGCCCACTCGTGTTAGCAATAATGGAAAGCATAAAACAGAAATACACAAACCAGAGGCAGCTGATGGCATCTGCTGCCATCCCTGTAAACAGCAGCAGTGGCATGAGATGAGCTTTTTGAAGAGCTTCCCTGCTGGAAGCAGACCCAAGGTAACAATGTAGGATCCCTGGCATTTGGTTCAGTTTTGTATTTTTTCATCCCACCAGAAGAGAAGTGGATATATTTATTAATTGTCCTTTCAACGCCCACCTGTTATGAGCATTCCAAGGCCAGAGACTGAATGAAAGCCATAAGTACAGACAGAGGAATGACAAAAAACGAAGTTCAAGAAAAGTAAACAAGAAAACCAAGGAAAAACATTAACTTTCTTTCTGTTGTTTCAATGCTCTTTTTCTACCCTCCACTTCTCCAAAGTGGTACAGGTCTCAAAGGCACTAAGGTGAACTACAGACATTTGTCACAGCCCTTGTCGCTCCTTCCCCTTCCCAAGTAAATTATTTCCTCCTGTTAATAGCACAGCCCATCCATTCCCCCAGCGCCTCCCGCCACACAACATTAAGCTCAAGTTAACCAAGGACACAGTTTCTTGATAAGCAGATGGTCCATGACAGGAGACATTTGCAGCTTTGTAAGCATCAGCACAGACCACACAACCAGCAGAGCTCAGACAGAGACAGCAACTGCACTGGTGGTGCTGGTCTGTTCCCTGCCAGTCCCACAGATTGCCACACACAAAACCTTCTGAAATGCTGCTAACATGTTCTTGTCAACTAGGAGGGCAACTGAGGCAGGGTCCCTTTGGCAGATCATACAAATTCCCTCCATTGGGGAGGGCATAGCCCAAACATTTAGTCTAAGAGCTGATGGTATGCAGGGTCAAAATACCACAAGCAAGCCCTCAAGTCAGACTCTGCCTGGCTGAAGGTACATGAAGGACACAGCCCCCAGCTGGAGTACTACTGCGCGCTAAAACCCCCATTGGTGGTCAGCCACAAGCCAGGGATGGACTGATGCAGGAGGACGGCCTTGAGTCCCAGCAGCACTGGCCTGACAGCTGGCTACTCTGCCAAAACCCAGCACTTTGTAGAGGAAAACATAGGAGAGTGATGAAAACCCCTTGTGATTCACGAGCAAGTCTGGGTCCTTCAAGACTTGGATAACTTGCTAAGCCCAGTGACTTTTCCTAGGTAAGCAGGTAAAAAGAGCAATCTGTGCTCAGAGACACAAGGAGTCATACCTGGTCATCTGCCTTTCCCACCTCCTGGCTTTATTCTGAGCAAGAGGAAGGGGGAGGTAAAAATGGAAGAGAAAGTAGAGCATAAATCCATGACTTCCATGAACCTCCACTGCCCTCCAAGCCACAGGGGCAAACACAGCTCCACTGGTGCCCTTCCTTCCCCAGACTGCAGTGCTGTAGAAGCACAGGGGCAATGCGTGCACCAGGACAGAAGCAGCTCATGAGTAATTCAGGATGACCAGTAAGGGCAGTGCTGTCCTCAGAACAAGCCAGCTCAAACATCTTCCTTTGAAACTCAGGCAAAGGATGTTTTCTGTATGCATTCTTCTTAGCAGGTGCCAAAAAAGTCGACAGTGATTTTAAAGCCTCCAGGGTTAGATTTTTATCCTGCAGGGTTAGATTTGGCAGTTTACTTGAAATACAAACTTTTCAAGCCTAAGAATTGGGTTGTTTATCCCATCTTCTTTTTATAATGATACTAAACTAACACTTGCAAGTTTAATGCTATTCATCTTGCATTTTTTGTTATTAATTAAAAATTGAATCCACATAGAAGACAGAGGTAAAATACTAGCATTTACTCAAGCCAGAATGCATTTTTAATATCACCCTTACAACAAATTATTTAACAAGTTTCCATGAAACATTGATCAATTTGAAATCTGACAACTTCTACGTTTCTTCTGAAGCACTAAAACCATAGTGTTACTTTTAATTTACAATGCTGCACAGTACCGGCACCTCTAAACTTGAACTTCCAATACAAAGGCTGCATTGTCCCAGGAGCAAGGAAAACAAGCTGATGCAACTGAAGGGTAACGCTAATTTTGTTACATCTGCCTACTGCCACAATACAAGTCAGATGACATTCAACAGTATACCTTGATGTAATCAAACCTAACCCACTACGAAAAACTGAAAAAACCGTAAGTTTTGCCAACTTGTAGTTCCCAAACTGTAGGCAATTCGCATGTGCGTTCACCTTCATAGAAAGGTGTTTAACTGAATGTCAATACATTCCAGAAAGCAAAAATATTAAGACACAAAACCTGAATACCTGGGGACCCCTGCTACAAGAAGTTAATATATTTCCATCATGGCTCCTTTCAGAGAAAAGATTTAGACTCATCCTTGACTGCTGACTACCCAGACATTATAGCATCATCTGAGTGCTGGGAAACCTACAGTGAAACTTACTGACTAAAGACAGTTTTTTTAAATTACATTAGCATTATATATTTCCTTGGGAGGTGCACGTCTTTGATAAAGACATTGCAATTAAAAAAAGAGGAAAGAAAGGGGAAAAAAACCCCAAATATGCACTGCCAGCACAGGAATTACTGTAAAACCAGGCATCCTTCTCGGCAACATCTGACCTGAAAGTAATTGCAACAGATGCTTCAACAACAGAACTGTCCTGGCAGGAAATAATTATAGCATCAAATAGCAATAAAGTCATTACATATCTTGGGGTCTCAACAGAGCGAAACCAAAACCAGTTGAATCAAAGCCACTTTCTATTTAAAAAAGCATTTCAATACAGCCCAACAGGGACGAATGGGAAGTTCAGAACCGACAGCACCTTCTTCCTCTTGAGAGAAAGCGCAGGTGGGAACCCTGGCTAGCCCTCTGATGCTACGCAAAGTATTAAGCTGTCTTTATCAGCACTATGCAATTCCTCCATTAATATTTTCGTTGCCCCTATAGGGAGTGCAGGACCTCTCTGAACTCTTCGTTTTCGACACAGTTTTTATGCAAAAAAAAAAGCCTTTAACGGAGCAACACGTAATGAACTTTCGGCAGTGCCCTCCTTAGGCACGGCAATATTCTGTTTCACTGACGGTCAATCGGCCTGGCTGTGCCAATGAAAAGAACTCCTGTGGGACTGCCCGGGAGCGCGGGCAGTCTGACCCGCACGGTAAGTTACGGAGTCGCTCTGCAGTCGCCAATCCCCGCTCACACACCCCCTCCCCGGATACTCCTTCATCCAAGTTCTACGAAAGCCTACATCGGTCGTTCTCAAGTCCCATATTACGGTAACTTGGCCACTGCGGTTTTGGTTGTGTTCCTCCTGCTCCTCGTGCTATCCAGCAAAGTAAGAAGTTGCCTAAATCCAGAGACTTCCAGATCCATCCTCCAGATAGGCTGTAAGCATCCCCAGTTGCTAACCGACTGAACACAGACACACATCCCGGTTCCCAGAAGTTTGGGGCAGCAAACCAACCCGCGAAACACATACACCTTTACCACCACCACCACCATCTCCCGCCGCCCTGCCCGTCCTTCGCCGCGGCTCGTCCCCAGCACCAAGGGCAGGGCGGCGGGATCCCCGTCCCGCCGACCCGCCCCGCGACAGCAAGGACCGCGACATCCCAGGGAAGTCGCGACAGGGTACCATGCCCGCAACCCGGACAGCCCGGCAGGGCTCACTCACCTGGGGGCAGCTGCAAGTTGGCCGGCAACTGGAGGGTGGCCGTGGGCGGACCCTTGAGCGCCACCGGCCGCGGGACCCCGGGAGCGGCCGCCTGCGGCACCGGGGACCCCGCGGGGGCGGGCACGGGGCGCGGCGGGGCGGCGGCGGGCGCGGGTGCGCCGGGCACCTTGGCGGCGGGGCTGCCCCGCTCGGCCGCCGAGCCCGCGGCGGGAGCGCAGGCGGCCGCCTGCTCCGGGCGTCCGCCGGGCATCAGCCTGACGGGGGCCGCCGCCGCCGAGGTGCTCATGGAGGAGGAGGAAGGCGAGGGGCCGGGGGGCGGCCGCGTCGCGCAGAGCCTCGCGGCGCCCCGCAGCATTGCGGGCGGGGGGCGCTCAGGCGCTGCCCCGGCCGCCGGCGCGCCCGCGGAAACACATGGCAGCGCCGCTCCTGCGGCTCCCGGGCACCGCGCACGTGAGCCCGGCCGGCACGGCCTCCCCTGCCGGCGGCGGGAGGGAGGGAGGGAGGGGAGGATGGGAGGGAGGGGAGGACGGGCGGAGGGCGGTCCCACGCCGCCAGCGCGCCCTACTGCGGCGGCGCCCGGCCCGGCCCAGCCCAGCCTAACCCGGCCCGGCCCCGCTGCCCCTCTGAGTCCGCCCGCCGTGTTTGCGGAGTCCCGCGCCCCGCCGGCTGAAAGTTGGCGGCAGCGGAGAGACCCAGCGGCGGGCGGGGTCGGGGGGCCGAGGGGGCGCGCCCGGAGCCCCGGGTGGGTAAGGCGGGGTGAGCGCGGCAGAGCTGCGGAGCTGGAAGAGAACGGGGCTGGGCGCTTCTCTTGCCGCCGTGCCATCCTTCGGCCCGCCTACCTGCGCCAGACCACCCCCGGCTGTACCTGGGCTGCAGGTGTCCTTGGGGTTTACATTAGAAACAAAAGGGACCCCGGCAGGTGTAGGAGTTCCCCGTGGCACGATGCGAACTTGCGGACGGGCCGAGAAGGCGAAAGCGGTGCGGACTTGGAAGGATGAAGGGGACAAAGTTGTCCCACTTGACCTTCACTCCCGGGGCTCGGCTTGAAGACATGCTGAAGGGGGGGACGTGCAACTCGCTCCCCCTGAAAAGCAAGGCTAATCGTGACAGGATGCATACAACATAGCTGTAAAAACAAATTTCAGAGTAGAACTGAAAGTTTTTGCTCGTGTGTTGGGAATGCATGACCTTCAGTGTATCATAGCTACGTTTGGGCTGAATTTCAATAGATTTTGAAGCGCGTTTATGCACGTGCTTGACTTCACCCATAACGCTGAAGGGATATGGCTTATATCTGCCCAAACTGAACACAGCATAAGCAATTACAAAATCCAAGGCCTGCTGTATGGTTCATTAAGGTGGTACAAAAAGCACACAGTCCAACAAAATATTAGGAGAGAAAAAATAATTACTCATCTATTAAACATCCCTTGCAACTGTGCTTTTCAGGTAGAAAGGTAGACAAATGCTAATACTGGATACACTGAAAATCATGTAAAATTTGAACAGAATGAAAAAAATTATCCAGCTCTTTTTATGCCCTGATAGATATTTCCATGCAGTGCTGCTTACAGGTTTTTCGGATTGCAGGAGCCTCTTTTTGACCATTTCCAGTAACGACCTTTCTTGATTTTACAGTGTTACTGCTTTAAATTGTTATCGGCAGCAATAGAAACAACTACAGAACAGAAATTGCTTGAGATGGGAACTGGAAGCATATGGCCACAGCTTAATTTCCAGGGTGGTCACAACGCAGGTAGCTGTACCCTCCCAAACTCCAGTAGTACAGGTAACAACAGGCATGGAGATCAGTTGCCTGTACTAGGTGGCTGAGGGCCTTAATGGTGCTAGAGACAGACTCTGACTCTCTGAAACACAGTACTTGCTCTCTCCCACAGCAACCCCACTCCCTTATCACCACAGCTCTTGCCTTGTCTCAACTCCCACCATGTCTGTCATATTCCAGAACAAATCAGCCCAAAATCTCAAAGAGGTAACAACAGCAGTGGTTACAGTTTCCAAGTATCAGAGCAAGCTAGGAAGATGGTGGAAGAGGAGGTGATAAAGACAGGAGGGAGGCAGCCTCTGTACCCTTCAGAGCTCTGCCAACTCTGACCAAATTACATCATTTCTTACGTATAAGAAGCTGTTTTACACACACAGTGTAACAACCAGGGTACAGTGAGTTACCTCCCACATGCCAAATGATGTTCAGAGACAATGAGATGGGGAAACTTCAGTTGCAGTGGAGACCAACGGTGATTGATGGCAGAAGGAGAAGGATGCAAGGGAAGGCATGATGTCCGCTGCTCTTGGACTTCAGGGATAACGGAATTGGCTTATTACTTAAGGCCAAGGTTTTATCTTCTTGGGGCCGTTCAGCTTCTGAGGGAATCTCTGAGACCCCCATGCAAATGCTTGGGAGTAAAAGCATATCTGTAAGCGACAAAAAGAAACAGCTGAAGATGACAGAAGTGTATGCACTAAAGCTGCAAGGCACAGAAGAGTGTAAAAAGAGGAAGTAGAAAATACAGTATAGTGAGAGAAAAAAATATACAAAGCAAGGAGCAAAGGAAGCAATATGAAATACAACACAAGAAAAGGCATAGCATAATCATAACAAAGAGGAACCCCCCCCATACCTCAGTAAACAAAGCCCAGATTTAGAAATACATGTATCTTTAAAAAAATAAAAAAGTTAAAGTGCCATAAGTGTCCAAACAAACCAGAGGTGTACCCATTATTCTATGAAACTGCACAGCAAATAAAAGGAAGGGTTCTTTTTCCACATTGGAAATATGTGTTATGATTGAAGCCCAATGTGCAGTCTTCATTAACAAAGTTAAGAGAAATGCAAAAAGCGATTCAGAATAACAAGGACCAAAGAATTTGGAATTTCAAAGCTATTTTTCATAACTGAAGAGGTTACAGCAGATGTAAGGAAACTTACTTTTGTCATTACCTGGAGTTTTGTTTCGTTTCTAAGATCTTTGTTCTCTTGGGCGACTGTGACCACCAAAAAACCCCATGCACTGAAAAACACTGAATTAAGTCATCATTCTTGTCTACACCTTTTTTACCCAAGCAGATACTGTCAAACATGGTAACTGCTTTTCAAGGTCAGCTGAAGATACACCCAGCAGTTCACTCTGTGAACACCCAGCCTTGGCAAACTGACCTTTTTTACCACTTCAAATAACCCACGAACGGGCTTATCTGACACTCATGTAGAAGTACCTTCTTTACCTTCTGGGCATAGGAAAGCATTACTGCAAACAACAGTTCAGATTTCCTTCCCAGGAGCTATTAGATTATATATATTTATATATACTGCCTGTAGTTTGGTCTGCATAACCCATTTCCAACAGCTGAGACTTAACACAGTGCACGCAGAATCTGTCTCTGCTGTTCTAAGCTTTCTGGAAGCTTTCAAATAGCATATTTAAAATACAAACCAGCTACCCACTCTCCAAAATTTCTGTCCAGACCGTAGACTTTCACTCTTTTGAAGACAGACCTTTATCTAGTCCTTAGATCTTAAGTCACTTTCACATCCAGCGCTAGTTTCAGTCTACTATAAAAATCAATCTCATATGCTTCAGGGTTTTAAATCTGTCAGTGGTCCTTTTTACAAAAGTTTTATTTTCTCCTAAATTGATAAATCATCAATTAAATATAACAAGTAAATCAGCTGGAATGAGAAACTTGTAATATTTGCCTTAAGCTTTTCCTAAGTGCCAGAGACTTGGCAGCACTATGGAATTAACTCAACCATGTAAAGGCAACATGAAGGGCAGAAATAGGTGTGAAGATTTAATCTCATTAGTTAAAATAGTTAATTTAAATGGGGAAAATTAAAAACTTGACATGAAACAAGTTAAAACAGTAATGAAGAATGCTAGCTGTTCAGACAAAGATGCTGAAGATGCTGAAAGAAATGAGATACTATAGATAAAAGCTGTAAAAATCAGGGAATAGAAAATTTAATTAAAAAAAAAAGTGAGAATGAGTTAGCTGGATATGCAGGAATAGCATGTATGACCAAAAGACTAAGTAATAGGAATACAGTTACAAATGGGAATTTATTTTCTAATGAAAACAGCCAAGTGAAATCACATTTAATATCAGCAGTAACCACACCTGTATTATGGTTGCAATTTAAGTAGATTTACTTTCTTTTGTTTATAGTCAGCATTACAGTCTGCCCTGTTTTTTCTATCTTGACTCATGATCTTTTATGGAGATGCCTCTTTTTTTGGGACGTTCGGGTCACAGATGCCAAACCAAACATTACACTGATTTATATGTCAAATTGTTCCATGAGGTACAATACCCTGCAGCTTTAAAACCTTATAAAACATTTTAAAGTACAACAGGAATGTACAACAAAATATATATAGTTTTATACTGTTTTAAGCCATACTGAGCTACTACTAATAGCAAGAGAGCTAAATGAACATGGAGCCTTACAGTGAGGCATGTGAAGTCCCAGAAGAGGAAACCCTGTCTGGCTGTGCACCAGGTGCGGTGCCTGCTGGTTTGGGAAACCCCAGGCTACTTCACAGAATCATAGAATCCTTTAGTTTGTAAAAGACCTCCAAGATCATCAAGCCCAACCGCTAACCCTGCACTGCCAAGTCCATCACTAAACCATGTCCCTAAGTGCCACATAAAAACATCTTTTAAATACCTCCAGGGATGTGCCTCAACCGCTTCCCTGGAGAGGCTGTCCCAATGCTCAACGGCCCTTTCAATGCAGAAATTTTTCCTAATACCCAATCTAAACCTCTCCTGGTGCAAATAGAGGCCATTTCCTCTTGTCTTTGCTTGTTACTTGGGAAAATAGACCAATGGACCCCCACTTGGCTACAACCTCCTTTCAGGTAGTTGTAGAGAGTGATAAGGTCTCCCCTGAGCCTCCTTTTCTGCAAACTAAACACCCCCAGCTCCCTGAGCTGTTCCCCATAAGACCTGTGCTCCAGACCCTTCACCAGCCTGTTGCCCTTCTCTGAACAAGCTCCAGCACCTCAATGTCTTTCTTGTAGCAAAGGGCCCAAAACTGGACACAGCACTCGAGGTGCAGCCTCACCTGGGATGATCCCTGCCCTGGTCCTGCTGGCCACACTATTTCAGATACAAGCCAGAAAGAACGCCACTGGCTGCTTTGGTCACCTGGGCACACTGCTGGAGGTTATCTGATGAGGAGAGAAGGTCTGGAAAGCACATGCAGCTCCCAAGCTAGGCTTAAGTGAGAAAGACAGATCAGAAAACTAAGTGAACAGAGGA